CCCCAGTTTAGAGTCATAGTTCGCTCAAAATGGCCAAGAAACGCCCGAGATAATCAAAACTGCACTTCCTCCATTACTACACCCGCCATAGCTCCACGCCCCGTATTCGTCATAACTCCCGTTTTGCTCCTCCTCCTCCCATTCTGGCTTCGTCTTCGGATTCGCTCGGGGCAAAAACCCCGAGATTGGCTCCTACCTCTCTCAATTCCGCCACGGATCGAGAGAGTTATGCTCTCCTTCCCTCGTCTGACTTAGCACCCCGCCATCTCCAAACTCTTCCCTCTTCCACGCCTGCACCTGGCCTAAATCCCGTCCAGGTTCGCCCCCTTCCCGTTGGCCTAAGCCAGCCCTTTCTCAGCCATCAGTGCTACCTTCCTCTCTCATTGTGCTGCTTTCTTCTACGCTCCTCTTCTCCTCTAGTCCTTCCTCTCCCGTTTCCGGCGTAGGCACCTGCCTTAGCCCAGCTACGGCAGAGCTCCCCCTCTCAACGTCGTACCACCCCGTCGTCTAACACCTGCTGCCCTCGCAGCGCAGTGCCCAATGCTTGGCTCGGCTGAGAACACGAGCCACAACGGCAACTTACCGTACGCCATAACAGCAGCAGATGTCGGGCTTCCGACTTTATACCTGTCTCCTTTGCGCTGGGCCACGCTAATCTGGTCTGTATCGTCCCAATTTTAACAGATGTCCGAGACCCAGGTGCCTCGGATCCGCTGCCTTGGGGTAGCCTTACCGCCAGGACTCCGAGAGAGCTCTGCCTTTCAATGGTTCAGTGGTGTCTCCACTGAACCAGGCTGCTTGGGCACACCGTCGGTCCCGGTACCGGTATCGGACCTTGTCAAAAAGAAATTTTATAAAACTAAAAAATATATATATTTTTTTAGGAAAGATATTTTTTTTATAGGAATTTTTAAAGAAAAAAAAAACGGGTGGGGGGAAAGGACCAATGGCAGTTGGTCTTGTCTCGCAAGCCCGTTGTTGGAACTCCCCCTCAGTAAAAACCAAGGGGCATAGTCCCACGGGACCCTCAACCCCTCGGTTCGCTCCTGTGCGGCTCCGCTGCTCTGCTCTGGCCTCGATCCCGGGATCCGCCTGGTATAAGTTCGGTGACGTAACCTATAGGGCTAAGCCCAAGCCTAAGTTGGTTGGGCTCTATCCTGTATATGAATTGCATGGCGCGCCAGCCTGGGCCTGCAGCAGCAGCCTTAAGGCTGCTGCTGCCCGTTCCCCACTCAAACCCACTGTTCTGCAGACGCGTTTCTGCGAATCCAGGCGCAGGCCTCCACTCAGCCTGCCGTGCCTGCAGCCCCGTAATACCACTGGCAATAAGCTAGGGTTGACCCCTCGCCGCTTCCTGCTTGGAAAGGCCGCTCTTCCGCCGAATCTATACCGGACAACCCCGGCCTCTATTATGACCCGCGCCACCCTTACCCGGCCTTGGCTACGACTTCTAGTAGTGATAACGCACGGTCAGCTCAGCACCTTGCGTAACTTTACACGGGGCGACCCTGAACGTCGGCCCCTAGTAAGTTAGACGACCTTCTTTTCTAGCCACAACCCTAGCTGGTCAACACGATGCCGCTTGTAACTTTGCTCGTGCTTGCGAGATTGCGACCGTCTTAGAACCTCTGGCTTGACATTTACTTTTCCTACCGGTGCCTCACGGTCTCCCTCGATCGCAGTTTGGTTTGGCTAGTGCGTGCCCACGAAGTGCACGTCCACACACTCTCTAATCAACACAAATGGGACGCGCCCTTAGATCTCGTCAGACGCGCTTTTCCTGTGAGCTGCAAATACCTGCCGAAATACCCTTGTAAGGGTATTCGGGCCGACAGTTTTCCAGACCTTATTTAGCGACGTCCCCGTCGCGTCGGACAATCAAGGCTATAAACACAAACACATCCGCTGACAAGGAAATGACCAATCCGGTTTACCGGCTCGACTCCGTTCGAGGTTGTCTTACCAACCTGCTCCCGTCACGACGTTCCACTGCCAGGGTTTTAACCTGGGTCTCCCACGTCCTGGCCTCGGAGCTAGGGGATACTTTGTTCCGTACTACGGCGTACTACCCGTTTCCAGGTAGCAGATTGATAGTCCTCTCCCTTCGTCGTAGACATCTGCCGACTTACCGTTGGGTGTCCTGTTTAGTCATCGTCCCGCGAACGGGGTCATAACTTAGGACGCGAGCCCTAACCGAGACCTCTCAAAATACCGGCGCTTTTAGCCGCCCACATGGTAGTATCTAACATCTCAATCCACAACGAACGCCCAACCTGGAGTTTACCACAGGCGGCTTCAGGTCTCCATCTTGGCCCACCATAGATCGGTTGATCACGTCGAATCCACGGCCCATCGCGTTGTTATGTAGCGATGGTGCCCTCGTTGGTTACGCAACGATAAGCAACTCTCTCTATCTCGGCACCCCGAAGGGCCCTGACTCTTTGACCTAGTCGACCCCAATGGCCTTTCCTCCGGCTAAACCTCTCCGGGTGGCCGACCCTTCAAGACTTAACCTTCGGTAAGTCATGGTCCCGCTGCCAGGTTGCGCCGGTCAGCGGCCCTCACTGGGAGTTAGGTTCTACAGTTCCAGCGATGCTAAGTATAGTCCCTTAGCTTGGCCTCACAATACGTTCCTTAGACTGACCCATGTGGTTTGGCACTTTCTTTCACAACAACAATCAAAGGATCACATACCGCTGCCCACGGGACTACGTGGAGGGATAGTGCCCTTCTCAATGTTTCATCCAAAATCCTCAATAATTCCACAGGGTCGTGCCTCCCTTACTTTGATCAAAAGCGGTAAGGTCACACGTCTTTTAGGGATACAATATTTTTCAAGTTTTCACATAATTGCCAGAAATTTCCAGCCATAATTTTCATAAAATACCTGGTCTTCCCTCATCAGACTTTTACACACACGCAAACATCGTCACCACTTATAGCAACTCTTCTGAGTGCTCTCACAAAATTCCATTCTTTTAAGAAAGTCCAATCGGCCATTGGACTTCCCCCTCTCAGTTCTGAATCATACACAAAAAACACAACTTTAGTCGTGACCTCTCCATTCCTCACCAATCCAGCTGGGTAAAGCATGTCATCACTGTCTCAATAATCCGAGAGCACTCCTTTCCCCTATACTTCCGGCTCCACTCGTCATTAGGACAGGGGTGCGCAAGTACAGTGGAAGGAAGCACAGATCAGTCCACCTCGCAACATTCATTTTATCATATCATCATCCATATGGGCAAGTCCACAAACCGAGGGTGAGTGTGACACACCACACACAACACAGGGACAAAGGTTGAGACTCACATATACACTCAGGACATGGTGCCTTGCAATGAACAAAGGCTTCTGTCCCCATCACAAAAATCAAAGTTATTATACAAAAAGTACAGGCATCCAACAAAAGTCATGGTACCCAAACGCCGAAGTATCCAAGACTCGACAGTAGCTCCACACACACGGGGTTTACTTAACAAGGGTATTAACATTCTGCGTCACCTCGGCAGAAAAAGCGGTCAACTCATACTCAGTTTTATCTTATGTACAAAGAAGGTCCTCAAGTCTATAATGCGATATAACACCTCATTACTGACCCAACTCACTGATGTACATGGGTCTGATCCAGTCCTCCATGTATCCCTCTATATACAAGTAATCATCAGTCGGTGAGTCATAGACGTCTCGCATATACTAGACTTAGGCCTTTCCGGACCTTATTAGAAAAACCCTACTCCTGATCACTCATGACCATCTGCAGCTGCCTATACAACTGCGCCCTCACCCCATCACGACCCTTATGAACCTGAAGTCCATTCTTATCTATCCATTTCCCTTACGACTCCCTGGTGACTAGTTCAGCAGCCTCATCTTTCAGGCTCTTCGGACAATCCTCAGCCCGATGTTTGCCCCTCTTACAATAGAAACGTTTCCCTGTCTTCTTCTGCGTCGCCTTCTCTTCTTCCAGCGAGGGTACTGATGGCGGGACTGCGGTGATCTCGCTCGTGGCCTCCTGCGGAGGGGTCTCTGATGGAATGGGGCAGGCGGCTCTATCTCCTTCCTGTCTTACTGGATCACTCGTCCGTTCCTTTGACCCAGATCCAGTGGCCCACGAGCCCAACGCCTCCTCCAAACCTGCAACCATAGGCATATTCTGAGGTATAATAGACTCCTGGCAGATCCCCTGACCTGCTCCCAGCCCAGTCTCAACCTCAACTTCCCGAACCACCTGCTCCTCAGCAACCTCCTGGGCGATAGGCAACATCCTCTCATCCCTCGCAGTCTCGCAGTCTCTACCTGCTGCGCCGCACCAAATCCCTTACGAGCCCGTTGGAGTGCCACGATAGAGGGCATCAGCCACTCAGATTCTCCACCCTTTGCCTCCCCCTATGCGCTCACTTCCTCAGGTTGCAGCATCTCCTTGTCCAACAGAGGTACATCCTCTCCTTCTTGTAGATCAGCCTTCTCCTTCACTTTCTGGCTCCTGAGGGTGTCTTCTGAGGGCGGCCTCTTCATCTCGAACCCCTGGACCTCAGTCCAGTCCACCAAGGTCGTGGGAGCTCTCTGCTCAAGCTTCGTTTCTAGCTCCTTGATCCTCTTCTCCCACTCAGCTTCCTTTGCCTGAAACAAGGTCTGCTGAGTCTGCAGGTAGGCCCTTAGCGATTGCCCTTACTAAGGGTCTGGTTGACCAGTCTGATTGCCTCATTTCCTGCCCGGGCCTTTTCCAGCTCCACCTTCATCGCGTCCAGCTTATGGTCTTGCCTTTCCTGATTCTCCTTCAGGTCCTTAATCTCTCGCTCCCATTCCACCCCCTGACCATAGGCCTTCTGAGCCACTTTGGTGAGTCTCTCTGCGACCTTCTGATCTGATGCCTAAGCTGCAGCGAAACCTTCCTTCATCACTCCCTTCAGGGTGAGCAAGTCTGCAAAGACTAACTTTGCCTCCACCTCCTGCTGGTGTGCTCCTGGTCCCTTTGCAGCTTCCATCAGATTGTCAAAGTTCTCTCATGCTTCTGAGAGTAAGGGAGGATCTTCTTCCTGCTAGCTGCTTACACTTTTCCCTTTTCTGTTCTTTGGGTTCACTGACCGCTCTCCCTACTCCATCCTCCTGTGGAGTTCTTCAAGTTTCTTCCCCCTGATTTTCGCTCTGATCTCCTGCTCTCTGGCAGCTCTTTCTTGCTTTTCCAACTCCTTCTCTTTTGCAGCCTGATCCTCATCCATCCTCTGTCCTGTCAGCTCACAGGGTGCCTCTGGTCCTGTTTCTGCCATAGCCTGATCCTCTGGTCTCTGAATAGACTGAGGAGGAGCCTCAAACCCCTCAGACTCCCTCCTATCCTGACTCCTCTTAGCCGACAACTCCTCTCTTCTCTCCATCCTGTGGGAAGCATGTTCCCTTCTTCTCCCACCCTCCTGAGATCTGGACGAGGTACCTCTCTCAAAAGTCCTCCTACCTTCAGACTCAGGCTCCTTCCTTTTCTTTTCCATACCCTTTCTCTCCTCTGCCTGGCGTGCTGGAGTGTAGTAACTCCTCAGTAGTCGTCTGCAGTCTCCCCAATGCAACGCTCTCTCCACAACACTCCTGACGAACATCCTGATATGCGTCTTCACAAACTGGAGGAATCCTCTCACTCTGGTCTCAGGTACAATGTTCTGCTCGTCCGCAAACCGGTCATAAGCCCACAACAACTCATCCAAGTTCGTCCCATCAAATTAGATCAGTACTCCATCTCTTCCCACGGGCGATGGGTGCAGTCCCTCCATCCTTCTCTCGAACTCGTGCCAGGTCGCCGACTCCCGTACATATCTGGCAATGGGCTCAGCCCACTCGCTCTCTCCACGTACCTCTCGCAACATCCTAGCTCCATTCCATTCGAACTCGCTGGCATGTTTCTCGAACTCGACCAAAAACAACTCCACGTTCCCTCCTCTGAAGATGGGTGGCCTGTCCTCTCTCCTGGTCCATCCCTGCACTCTCTGTCTGGCTGCCTCCTGAGGAGGTTCCACTGGCCCTGCCCCTCCCTTCCCTCTTGCCATGGCTTCGCCAAATGGTGTCAAGCCTGCACAACAAGGAAGAGACAAGCCAAAACACACAGAGTGTAAGCAGGTTCGGCACACAGTGAGAGACAGACACGTCCCTCCCCACCTAACCTAGACGCCTATACAGGCATATACATACATACCTACACATACATACGTACTATCATAACCTATCATATCATTTCAATGAACGCCCATACAATCTTGCTATACTAATACCCCCATCAGAAAGACATACTTTAACAAGAGAAAGGGACTGTAACTTGTGGGGTCTTGGGCAGCCATAGGAAGCCGCGCTCATTGACGGTCCGACACATGATCTATGTGGCCCACTCATGGGCCACGGGGTGTATGACCAGTGCCCATGCCAACGACTCGGAGGTCCACAACCTGGCCATGGCCCATAGGGTGCTGGTGCAGCCTGATGGGATGACTCAGGAGGGGGCATTGCCACAGCCTGCGGGACCTGACCCCTCCCTGAGCCTTGACCCCCTTGAGCCAGATTCCTGGTCTTTCTTTGAGCCTTGGTTAGCTTCTGAGGCTCGGGCGCTTCTTCCTCTTCCTCTTCTTTTTCTTCCTGCACCACTGATTTCTTCGCTTTCCCTACGGTCTGTGGCGCTGCCATGGTTTTCCTTTTTGCCTCTTTCTCTGCATCGAGCTGGGTCACCGCATCTTCTATCAGTTTCTTAAAGTCTCGCCCGTCGCTCGTTGTGACTTCCAAGGCCTTTCTTTTCTTCCTAGCCTGTCTCATTTGGATGATGTCTACTTGGTCCAGTTCTCCTTCTATCACGCCCTCCTTTATGGTGGCCCAAGTCGGCTTCTTCCCTGGCGCAGCCTTCTTGGTCAGCGACGAGGCCTCCCAATTCTTAAAGTGCCCCAGGAAAGTGGCACATTGTTCCTCTTCCGCCAACCCTGGGACTTTCTTTGCCATCTTATCGAATGCTGTGACGAAGACCTCTACTGTGGAGAATTCATCCCGCTGCAGCATCTCCAAATCTGTCTTAGTCAGCAAGCCATCCCCTAACTTGAATCGCCTTTGCATCTCAGCCTTGAACTTAACGCTGTCTCCCCCTGCTGCAGCAGCCACCTTCATTACTTTGGGCCGGGTTTCCCACCAGATGTATCGAGGTAGAAACTTGAACTTGTCTTCTTCGGGTACCTCGGCGGTAACTTGTTCCAGTAGCTCCAGCCATTTTGACACCCTTTCCCCTTCAAACAGGAAGATGTCGATTTTCGGCACCTGAAGTCGTGCCAATTCGCTTTTCTCAAGGGCCTTGACAAAGTCTGCCGGCGTAGCGGCCGGGCCCCGCTCGATCCCATCTGCGTCCGGCATCTGAATCCCTTTTTGCCAACCGACCTGACAGGAGTAGCAAAAGGCAGACTGGTAAGCAGCTCGTTGAATTTCAAGGACTTGCCCTAAGTCATACCTGACTAGTCCACCTCTAAGTTCAGCTAACCCTCTACTACTAACCATTCAAAGCCCAAGATACAACCTTCAGTCGCAATCTATATCACTTAGTCTTATTATTATCTCATATACAATCCTCTTATATAAGACATTTCCCATAAACTTTTGTCGTTTTGCCTAGATCATCAGCCTCCACTTAACCTGGTTTCATTCTCTTAAGGACCCCTGTAAGCAGCCGAGATCCCCGGCAACGGCGCCACCTGTTGAGCGCATCGGTCCCACACGGGGACCCTCCCGGTCGCGTCACGCAGGATTATGCAGGACTTGTCGCGTAGAGCATTTGCCGCTCCGGCCGAGTGCGCCAGCCGTACCTCTCACGTGCCCCTACGACAGGACAGGGTCACGCGAGGCACCACTTACCTTCACCTGCGGGAGCTGTCACCATCCCTTAGGTGGACGTATCCCCGCCGAGCTACTGAACCACATGCGAAAGCTTTTCGTATGCAATTGCAAAGGTGGCCCAGCCGAAGGCATTTCTCGTTCGCTGTAGCATAGGGGGGACGCGCGGTCGAACGCCCAAAAATCGAACCCGTACGCGAGTCGCCGTACTGGGGGGCTGAAGTCCCAAACGCGATTCGACGCCGATCGACTAGGATACGCTACTCACACCACACGTTACACTACAACACTCACACCTCCCAGTTATAACACATGGAACACACACAAACAAACACCACAGAAACCGCCACGATACAACAACTCCTAGTCCCTTCAATATCTGACTCATAACTTTATACGGCAAGACTCAGATAGGTATCGCGCGCTGAACTTCCATATAAGAGTCGGGCGAGCGCATGGCCTCCTCATGACAACCAACCATGCGGACATACGCAAGCCCTCGCGCTGATGGGGTACTATATGGTACTCGTATCCTCGCGGCCCTTGATAATCTCGGGGTTCGCGTTCGACACTTAAGTGTCGGCTGACAGGCGCTTTGAGGGGTAATCTCTCTACGCCAGGCAACCGTCATGGGCGGTTGAAGCTCACACCCTCTTCTGCACCCTGCGCAAAGGGGTTGAGAAAACAGCTCTAAGCTGTTGTGGCGGTCAAACGTCAAGGGGTTTGACTTTGACAGCCGCCACGAACTATAACGTCCAACCATGAAAACCCAAAAAGGAAAACTTAGTCCAACTTGCGTTTGTTTAGTGGCCTCCCGAAATGGAAGGGGTAGGCAAGTCCAAACGACGCACGTGCGGAGGAGGCCCAAAGTCCTACCCGTAGGCTATCCGATGTCCGGAATAGTGAGGCCCGTACACAGACTCCCATAGGTCGACTACGACTAGTCCTTCGCCCATGTGCCGCCTCGAGGTACAAAAAACCTGAGTCTATTAGTCACTTCGCGCTTTTGGTCTCGCCGCCTGACCCATAACTTTTTAGCATGAGGATCGGCGAGTGTCGCGCGCAGGGACTTAGTATAAGATTGCGCGGATGCAGTACCCACACATACCAATTCACTATGCAGCTCTACAAAAGTGTCTGCGGTGACGGCGCATTGTGCGGTG